ATATGAAATCGCACGAGGCATTTATACAAAAGTTTCCATAAGCTCCCGTATTAAAAATAAGAATGTCTGACTATAGCATGTACTCCACTACTATATTAAAAAACTAGCCTTTGTCATTTCAGAGATTCTTTTGGCTACGAGCTTCTCCGTCTACAACGATTGTTACATCGGTGAAGGCTCGATCGACTGATATCGGAATCGAACGGGAAACGCTATCACACGGTGTTAAACCGAATACGCGAATTATTAATTTACGATTCCACGTTCACTGATACCGTGTCACGTGTAGTAAGCGTTTGGTTGAGCCGCTGATTTCGACTGAGCAAACGGCAATAAGGAAACGCTTCTTGGAACGAGTTAGAGAAACTGTTCAACTCGACGACAGCTCGCCTAGTTAAATGGGATTAGAGGTTTATACATGGTAAACTCAGCGCGTGGCTCGAGCATTTTAACGACGCTTTGTATACATACACGCGACAGGCGTATGTACGTACGTTAGTACATATGTATACAAGAGAATGTTTGCAGCGTACAATATATGTGTATCTATACATACAGCTACAGCCTTATGCTCTGTTCAAATTGCTCAAATGCTCAGGACGCGTCGCCGTCTGCCGATTGATTCTGTGAAGTGATTTCGTACTATCGGCACGCATTATCATACACAAGGCAATAGGGGGTAATATCTCGAATAGGGCAACGCTTGATTCATGGGCATGCAATATTGTTCGCAATCGCATTACCGCGACGCGACGACGCACGCTTGCCGACACTTCAGAGGCGGATGTGCAATCGCGCGAGGCGCGAACGCTACAGCTGAACACTTGCTGCCTTTAAATTATGAGAACTCGTACAAATAATTATTGCAAACCTGCGTCTACACTATATGGCAAAATACAAAACACAGCAAAGTCATGTAAATTGGTAGAAATATAAGAAGCGAAATGTTGTGTCGCGTAATCTAATAAATTATTCTTTTTGTCATAATAGCAGATCGTATGTTACTGTAAAGAAAGTGGAACTATCATATAACGTATGTAGTTAGCAAAATTAGATGTATATAGTGTAGGCTTTGTCCGTTAGAGCCTAGGGCCTAGGGGAGATCGTATGCAGCGTCGTACCTGCTCTCCCCCTTTGCCCCGCGTAGGGTCGTAGATTTTTGCAATCGCGAGGAACCGTTTCGCGACGACATATAAATACACGTGAATATAGAAGAACGGCAGAGTCGGTAACAAGTGCGCATTCAATACGTATCAGCGAATTTACTTATCACAGCGAGACAAGATCCAATAAAGCAAAGGTGGATCGATCATAACAGTGTCAATTAGTGAACTATCGTGACTCATTTTCCATTAATCATACATTTTAAGACACTTGCATCCTACAATAGTAAATATTCCAGTTTCACATTAAAATTTATACTCATTGTAAGATTATGTATAAAATTATAGAAAAAAGTGAATAGAAATTTTAATGTGAACAGATGTTCGGTTATTTACTATATGTCTTCTTTATTTTTAAAAAACTAGCAAATATCATGAACCAAAAGTCTTTACTACAAATGTATTATGCTTTTTTTACAGTATTAATTACACAACAATGTTTTGTCACATAGTGTACAAGCAGCTTGAGAAAGGTTTGTCATGTTTCTAGTAGAAAAGGACTAAAAATTCGTGCTCGATGGGGAAAGTTGCAAAAAGGAACGAAAGTGGAAAAGCAATTTATATTTAGATATATACTGAGCTGTCTGTTCGGGGATATAACGTACTGAAATTTCCACGTGAAAACATAAACGTTACTGATATCTGGTATTTCTTCATTTTAATATGTCAAAACATCCGTTACGCCGGGTTACCCGTAGGATACGTTTTTGAAAGGAATCCTCTTACACGGTTCGTTCGTTCCTCTCCTCTACAGAGCCCCGGCGAACGTTCGCGTCGACGTTTGACATTCGTCCCGCCAGACGAACCGAATCAAGACCCCGGGGTCTACCGTGAATCGTAAAACGCGTGCAAGGAGGCCGACGCACTCCCCCGTACCTACACGTACTAGTCATTGAAACGAAGTTACAGTCATGGACGCGGAGTGCGCAACGGACGCAGGGCAACGCGATAACTCAAATTCATTTGAAACGACAGAAAAAAAAAAAAGATGCGTCTACGTAGAATGAAAAACCACCGTCGGCCGCTCGTAAAATTGTATCCCTCGGAAATATATTGCTCGATATTGCCAAGGGTAAAAAAAATAGGAACAAGAAAAATGGCCGATGGAAGTTGGGAGCACTTGAATTTTGAAATCCGTAGAAATTTTATAGAAGAGGAGGTGGCCGGGAACCGCAGTAGAATGGATAGCTGTACAGGATGATCCTCGTAAAACGATACGATTATTTGTGCAAAGTTTTAAGGCGTATGAAAAAAGTGCTGGCACGAGAAACATGCTCGGACTCCGTGCGAAAGGAATTCTTCGTATCAGAAAACTTGTAGATAGCACGAAATCAAACTTTACTCTGGCAAAATCTTTTCATGAATCTAGAACTCCGTCTGTGCTACGTAATAAAACAGTGTAATACAACAGGTTTGTTTCAAATGTTATATAACATGCTTCTGTGACTTGTTACAATAACTTATTCAGTTGCACACTATTATAACAAAATGTTTTAAGAATTTCAATTGCTAAAAACCTTACTAAGGTACCTACTAACTAATTACAAATTAATTGCTAATTTGTCTACAACTGGATTAAAAATGTAATCGCTTATTTACAACCCTGACCTTTCCTACGTATTTTACTTATTAATTATTCAAAACCGGAACTTTTTATTCGTGCAAGGTTTTTAAAACTTCCAATCCCCGATATCTGCTAGAGGATTACTGTCACTATATTATTTCCGAGCTAATAATGAAGCCAGGATTTTCGCTTAGGTCTACTGTGTTTTTCCAATAAAATTACACATATAGCTACTGCTAGAATTACGGTTCGAACGTTTCACGCCATTATAAATATGAAATGCAAAATGTTCTACGAACTTGTTATACTAATATATATATATTTCAAAAAACAGAAAAGGAGTCGTATAATATTATGGCATACAACGTTTTGCTTCTTCCATTTCTACCAAGTTATATGACATTGCTATATAACATGTGTTACACAGACGTAACTTATTATTATATTTATATTATTTACTATTATAGGTAATAATAATATTTCAATAAAAAGATCTGAAGACCATCATTATTTATATGAATCCTATCATTGTTTTACTATTTAATCCAGAGATCTCAAAACCATCATTATTTATATGAATCCTGCCATTGTTCTACAATTGAATTGAAAGATCTCAAAAGCACCAATCCTGTTTTATAAGCATCATAACCGAATCCTGTCGTTGCTTTACAATTCAATAAAAAGATCTGAAAACCATCATTCTTTACATTAATCCTATCATTGTTCTACAATTCAATAAAAAGATCTGAAAACCACCAATGTTTACATCCTGTTTTACAAGCATCATAACCTCATAAGTACCATAGCGTCATTTATGAAGTGTCACAGTACATTCGTAAAAACAATCAGAAAATTCTTCATGCACAATTGAAAACAATTAAAAGTATCGTTATTACTTACAAAAACGATGAGGACCTCCAATGACGGTGCGCTGGTTGCTCGTACCTCACAAACACGAGATAAAGGAAAGGTGCGAAAACGGATATTAAGTGACTCACCGTATGGTTTTTACGATCGCGTCGCGTGAAGTGAAAACGCGGAAAGACGAACACAACACAACATTTGGCAAACTTGGAAGAGATAGGTAGGTCGTTTCGCGTCGCGTGTGCGGGCCGACGACGGCAGGCGGTTCATACGGGTGCGGGTATAGTTTACGGTGTCGCCACGGGTCACGGTGGCGCTGCGCCACCGGCGCGATCTTCAGTTCGTCACGGGGTCGCGAAGGGTACGGATTGCTGTCGTCGATTAGCCGTAACCCACGTTCGTCCGTGGTGACGCGCGAAAATCCTAACCGGCCACGTTTTTCTACGACACGTAAGAAGAAGCTGAAACCCGTCGGTCGTGTTTTGTCGACAGCTTATTACCAGTGTTTCCTGTGCGGTGTCACACATGTCGCGAAGTTATACGTTCCGCGCGTGATACTTCGTATACCTCGAAGGAGATAGTGCTGCGAAAAGGACGGGAGGAGAATCATCGAATCCGTGCATCCTGGGACGCGAGAACGTGAACATCGGCCACTTTTGCTGTCCCCAAACGTGAGTGTTTCTGCTTTCTATCAGTTTATCCGTTTCACCGATGGTACACGGTGCCGCGAACGTGGAACACGTCCCGCGCAGGAGGAAGCATAGTTCCAATCGTTACTGACAGGTTCGACAGACTTCGGTTCTGACGTGTGGCTTAGAATTCTTGATCGGGCACGAGGCAACGATGCGACGTGCTTCCTTCGCCTGCTGCCAATATTCTTAGACCGATACAGTCCGACTTCCGTTTGAATAGCGCGGGTAGTACGTGTATGTCGTTTCCGTGTAAATCCGGACGTGCGATGTACTCGTGTAACGTACGCGCGTACGTCAACGTGTACGCTGCCGGCGTGTACCTCCTTCCTTTGACATTTGTGTACGGAACGTACACTTGTTTGCTGTGTTCAGCTTTTTGTTCGCGACGCCTTTGAGAATTTGATAACTGCCCGAGGGCGGACGAATTACGTTTGCGCGATGTTTTGCAAGTTCCTGAAAGTCCTGCCTCGTTCCCTACTGAGAGATAAATAAAGCACGTCATCTATTTAATCCTCCGAGTGTTTACCTCGTAAGTTTCACGGGCAGTCTTGAATGCTTAATACAAAAAGTTGGTCTCATTAAAAGTTTGGTACTGCCATATGTTACGTCGTCTGAAATTTGAATATGTTAAATGTTTCATACTCGTCAAGCTAGAGAATAATCTCGTAAAAACATAAATCGTGTTCCTTAAGCTAATTCGAAATCATTTTGCAAACGATTCATGATAAGCTTGAAAAGTAAATCAGTGACGAAATTTTAGCTTCCATCGAAATATAAGAATTTTAATTTTTAATAATTTTTAGTTTAAAAGTTCAGTACTACCATATGTTACTTCGTTTGAAATTTAAATATGTTGAATGTTTTATACTCGTCAAGCTAGAAAAGAATTTCGTAAAAACAAATCCTGTACTTTAAGCTAATTTGAAATCACTTAGCAAACGATGCATGATAAACTTGAAAAATAGATCAAAGACAAAATTCTAGCTTGCATCTAAGGACAAGAATTCTAGTACAGTATTGGATCTATAAATGTGAAAACGTCTGTTTTTGTGTAGGTACTAGACGTTGTTTTGCCGAAAGCCTCGAAGGTAGAAAATACAGTGCATGAAAGAGAAAAATAAATTGTACATCAAATACAAGATAAAACTCTTATATTCAATAATTCAACTAGAAAACACTTTTGCTTTTCTTCTTTTTCAATCAAATTTTTTAGAATTCTGCTGAGATTTTTCTGATTAAAATCACGTCAAACATGATTTAATTCGCATTCTGTTATTTACGCTCATATATCAATTTTTGTTATTTTCATTTATCAAATCTATTAAATTTTCATTTGCAAAACGTGTTGTACGAAATGATAATTTAAAAATCTATAGGTTGCAAATCTCTGTAAATATGATCCTTTGTTATGCACTGAATAACGACGAAGACAGCATTACCGTATAAAATACTGGTTGTTCGAA